GGTTTACATTGAGTTTGTATCTGTTGTGCGCTCTTGTATTGTTGCGGTTGAAGCTGAAGTAGTCATTGTCTGGCAGGACTTGTTACACTGTTACACTGTGTGCTATAATCGAAGCGACTTACCTCGACCCGTAATTTCTTGGAAACCTTGTCCCCTATCCCCCATTCGCCAACCGCCACAATAGTGATGGGGATGTCATTCGCCCCCATGGGAACCAGAACGAAGGGCACGGGAATTGCGGAGTTCCCCGGCACCTCCACCTTCCGCTTCCGTGCTGGCCCAAGTGTGGCTGGGGAACAGATGCCTTCAGCAGGCTCCAGATATACTGAAACCTACGTCAAAAAAAATGAGAAACAAGATCTGTTCAAATATCAAAATGTCTTTCCCAAGATCAACCAAGCAGCTGCCCTGATATGAGATAGTGACTCATACATTTCTGCTTGTCCTTATTTTCCTAAATTACAGGGTGCCTTGACTTACGACCACAACTGGCACAGGAACTTTCATTGCTAAACAAGTTGGTGTCTTTAAGAGAGCTCTGCTTGGTTTTACAACGTGTTTTGCTGTGGCTGTTTAAGAAATCACTGTGGTTTTTAAAGCAAATCCGGTTTGCCACGTTGACTTCGCTGGCTGTAAGCCGGTTGAGGAAGTTGCATCGTAATATTAATCTGCAATATTTTTTTCACACTGTTGCGTGGATTTGCACATCACTTACGCTGAATGGATCAGGCTGGTAGTTATATAACACTGGACGAAGCTCTATCTGTTCAAACTGTTTCACGGAGTATGGCAGCCGAAGAGAAATGTGGAATTCTTGGAAGACTGTAACTTTGAATGGTTCTGAAACGCAAATCCCTAAAAACACAAGAAGAACTGAGCATTAGCAAAGAGAAACAGCCGGATAATAATGGAACTCCGTTACTAAACAAACAAATTTAAAAAAAAAAAAAAAGAAATAAGCAAGGAAGAAATCAACAATGTTTACCTTTCGCAGAAGACATGCTAACCGCCTGGATCTCCCACGTGGTAATGGAATCGGGAAGATGAAATGCTTCCCTGAAAAACACCACGAATAAATTTTCTTCGTCTTTCTGTATAACAGACGTTTCCACCAAGGCCATGAAACTCTTCCAAATCTTTCATGCAGCTACTGGTGGTCCTAAGACTCTCCACCCTTGTATTAAACCCTCATCCCAGCCCTCCAAGACCTGTTTAATAGGTAGTCCACGACTTACAAGCACAATTGAGCCCAAAATTTCTCTTGCTAAGCAAGACTGATGTTAGATGAGTTTTGCCCCATTTTAGGACCTTTTGTGATGACCTGGGGCATGGCACCAAGGCAACATAGTCAGATAATCAGTAGGAGTCCCTTTATTAGTTCCAACTTTGCCCCCAATGTCCTAGCTACCTTCTGGCTGGAGAAAAACTCTTCCAGGAACAGCCTTTGGCTGCAGAGAATCAAGTCCAAACCATGGTCAACAAAAACTGTAACTACAAGTCCAAACAAGGCAAAATGAGGTAATTAGTCCAGCAAGGCAGGAGAAAGAATTCCATATGTGAAGGCATGGCAATAACTCAACACAGTTGGGAGGATGCCAGGAACACAGATAACCAAAGTATATACAAGATCAAGTCACGTTTGCTCCCAGCCGATGACGCACTCAGCATGCATCTCTTAAACCCTCTTTCCAGCTGATGAAGGGAATCAGGGCCCTTTCCTCCCCCGTAAGCCATGCAACCCACGTTGCTCTCTTCTCCGTTCCTCCCTGCGTGTCCTAGGATGAAGAGTGGGTGGGCCTGGGTCTTCCTCCCCCTCTCCCTGCTCTGCCCAGCCGGACTTTGCCCTTCCCCAGTTTCCTCCACAGCCAACAGAGCCACACTCCCACTCCCTGTCAGCTGTCTGTCTTCCTCCTCGGATTCAGACTATGACAGGGGCATGACACCTTTCTTGCCACAGCTATTAAGTGAATCATAGCAGTTGTTAAGTTAGTAACACCGTTGTTAAATGAATGTGGTTTCCCCATTGATTCTGCTTGTCAGAAGATGGCAAAAGGTGATCGCGTGACTTGGGACACTGCAACCATCATAAATATGAGTCAGTTCTGAATTTTGATCACATGACCCTGGGGATGCCGCCATGGTTGTGTGAAAAACAGTCATGTCCCTTTTTTCAGTATCGTTGTAACTTTGAATGTTCACTAAATGAACAGTTGTAAGTTGAGGACTACCTGTATGTACTGTAGTATAATTACACAGGCAAATATTTGGGCTCAGCGCCTGGTTCCAGCTTCCCTGGAGCCCAATATCTGACACGGATGAAATGTTTATTCTATCACAAGAAAAGAAGCATGACTTTTAAATGGGTTTTTGTTCTACTCACGTGAGGCTTTGTTCCACAAAGAAGGTTTGCCAGAGCCAGCTCTCAGGGAAAAATCTTCGCAGGGTGATAACATCGTCATCCAAAAAATCTTCGTCGTCTTCATCATCGACTATGTAGAAAGAGAAAGTCACTAACGAAAGATGACAATTTGCTCTTTTCCGAAAAAAACTTAGAGCAGAGTTCTCCAACCGCGGCAACTTTAAGACTTGCAGACTTCAGCAGGAGAACCGGTAGCGGAAACTTTGAGTAGTTTGGAAAACCTGCAAATACCACTTCTGACTGGCCCCGCCCCATCTATTCTCGCCTCCCGAGTCCCAGCTAATTGGCTGGGTCTTCTTTGGTTGCCCTGCACAGGAGAATGGAGCTGGAAAGCAGGTTAGTGGGGTGGGGTGGGAATGGGGATTTTACAGTATCTTTCCCAGAGGTGGTATTCAGCAGGTTCTGAACAGTTCTAGAGAACCGGTAGCGGAAATTTTGAGTAGTTCGGAGAACTGGCAAATATCACCTCTGATTGGAGACTTTATGAAATCCTTCCCCTGCCACGCCCAGAGAACCAGTAATAAAAACAATTTGAATCCCACCACTGCTTCAACTCCCAGAATTCCTTAGCCAGCCATGGAATTCTGGGAGTTGAAGTCCACAAATCTTAAAGTTGCCGAGGTTGGAGATCCCCTGCCTTAGAAGAAATGGCACTGAGGCCTCTTAACTTCAGGTGTTTTAACAGTCGCTGCGGTGTCCCTGGTATTTCATTGTTTTATCAACTGTTTTTTTATTGTTCTGGTTTTTATCCTACATTTATTGTGAGGATTATTGTTAATGAACTGGGTAACAGTCTCTCTATATGTTGATCTTTTTTTTTAATGTCAAGATTTTTAGGACCGAATCCCAAGTATCTGTCTCAAGAGCCTGACAGGAATCTTTCATCCCAGTCAAGGATGAACATTTGACAGATGGCTAACCCATGGATCTGACCTCAGATAACAGATAATCAGAGTTGGAAGGGACCTTATAGGTCATCTAGTCCAACCCTTCACCCAAGCGGGAGACCCTACACCATTTCTAACAAATGGCAGTCCAATCTCTTCTTGAAGGTCTCAAGTGACGGCGCTCCCACAACTTCCGAGGGCAAGCTGTTCCATTGGCCTCTATCAAAATGTATCTCCGTTCCTCTGGTCCAGCCTGTGCCACATTATGGAGAATGATCTGGCAGATACAGATAGTCCTCGACTTGGAACAGTTCCTTTAGCGACCATTCAAAGTTACAATGTAAAAAGTAACTTATGACCGTTTTGCAGAGTTACAACCTTTGTAGCATCCGCCATGATCATGTGATCAAAATTCAGATGCTTGGCAACTGGTTCATACTTATGACCATTGATGTGTCCTAAGTTCACGTGACACCCCCCCCCCCCTTAGAACTTCTAACGAGCAAAGTCAGTGAGGAAGCCAGATTCACTTCCCAACCAGGTTACTCACTTAACAGCTGCAGTGATTCACTTAACAACGGTGGGAAGAAAATTCGTGAAGTAGGGCAAAACTCCTTTAAAACAGTGACACTTAGCAAAACAGAAACTGTGGTCATAAGTTGAGAACTATCTGTATACACTACAGACTCTGAAATGCCATATGGACCAAAAGAATTACTTATACACAACCTAAGTTGAAGTTGTAAATCAAAGACTACCCATATATGCTTTATAGGGGTGTTAGCATATTTTAGTTGGGCAAGATTCTGTCCAGTGGTGGGATTCAATTTTTTTTACCGCCGGTTCTGTGGGTGTGGCTTGGTGGGCGTGGCTTGGTGGGCGTGGCAGGGGAAGGATACTGTAAAATCTCTATTCCCACCCTACTCCTGGGGGAAGGTTACTGTAAAATCCCCATTTCCCTCCCCACCCCACTAACCTGCTTTCCAGCTCCTTTCTCCTATGCAGGGCAACAAAAGGAGACCCAGCCAATCAGCTGGGACTCGGGAGGCAGAGAATAGATGGGGGTGGGGCCAGAAAAAGGTGGTATTTGCCAGTTCTCCGATCTACTCAAAATTTCCGCTACCCGGTTCTCCAGAACTGGTCAGAACCTACTCAATACCACCTCTGATTCTTCCTATGGGTGAGGAACAATAAATAAATCTGCTGTTAAGAATGACAAGGTTTCTTTCTTGGGTTTTGGAGTCTGACAGAAAGATATTATGGCCGCTGTGAGGAAGAATTGCTGAAGCTGGAACTCTTTATAAAACACGTTTTGGGGGCCGACAGGGATTGATGTTCAAACATCCAGATTGCCTTTCCTCCTCTAACCTTTCTCTTTTCCTATTCAGCTGGCTCAGGGTCACCATACTCACCCCTTGCAAGACCATGGGACCCCCAGGATTGGCGACGTAATTTGGCAGCATGACGGCAACAGTCAAGGAAGACTTCACGACACCCTATGTTCTGAATCCTTTTGGCACGTTCTTCGCATGACCGGGCATTGCGAAGCAGCACAATGCCACCTTTGCAGCATTTAATCTGATTAGGTGTATGGTATTTGGCAACTGCAGAAGAGGGGGAGAAGAAGATAAAATATTGGTGGATATAAAATGCAGAAACAAAAGAGATAAAGGTAAAGGTAAACCAATATTTCACATTCCCTTCTTAGAATTCCGATTAGTCTAGCTCAGCAGTTTCCAAATTTTACTTTCTGATATATCTGGCCTGCATTTTTCAACTTTTGCAACTGTAAGGTAGGTGGACTTTTAACTCCCAGAATTCAGCAGCTTGACACTGGTGTGTAACACAGCTAGAAACGAAGCTAGCTTAAGAAATCTGGTTTTTTTGTTTGATGAGGGGAAAAGTCTGTTGTTCTAAGTTCCTTGACTCTCAATTGGACTTCCCAGTTTCTCTGCTTCTTCAGAAGCAATTCAGACACAGAAGAAAACAAACAAAATACCCTTACATTTTTTACAATTTTCCCACCACAGTCTACACCAGGGCTGTCAAATTTTGGGTCCATGGGCCGGATGCGTCATGTCCTGGCCATGCCCATTCCTGGTTTAGCAAAGGGTGGAAAGTCCCGATACATCATGTGATGCCGCTGTGACAACGCGAGTTTGACACCCCTTGTCTACGCCAGTGTTTCTTAACCGGGCAACTTGAAGATGTGTGGACTTCAACTCCCAGAATTCCCCTAGCTGGCTAAGGAATTCTGGGAGTTGAAGTCCACCCATCTTAAGATTGCAAAGCTTGAGAAACCCACTGTATCGGATCATCGTGCAGCTTTTGAGGAGAACTACATAACCCGAAGGTTGGCAACATAAAGCTTTCCGATATTTAGACATGCGCCTGTCTTGCATAGATGGTACCTGCAGGATCCCCAAATTATTCATACATTTCTATATTCAATCAATCGTTTGTATGTATGTATTGCATTAAATCCACTCAAAATGGCCGACATTCTGCGAGATGATTAAAATCTCATGAGATTTCAGTAGCCAAGATGTGGGGCAAGCAAGTTGAGTGGCCATGAGATTTAGAAGACCGCAAATTCAGGAGATTCGAAACACAAACCCTTGGGAACAATTCTGAAGATACGAAGGACAAGCCCACTCTGATCACTTTGTCCCTGTAGCTATTGCTAAACACAGACAGTCCTTGATCTTACAACCATTCATTTAGTGGCCATTCTAAGTTACAATGATACTGACAAAAATGACTTATGACCAGTTTTCATGCTTACAACCCGGGGTGGGATACAAATATTTTTACTACTGGGTTCTGTGGGCGTGGCTAGGCGGGCGTGGCCATGTGACTGGGTGGGTGGAGCTTTTTGCAGCCCCCCCACCCAGCTTTACTTAACGACCTCAAGATTCACTGAATAATTGCAGTGATTTGTTTAACAATTGTAGCAAAAATGTTGTAAAATGGAGCAAAACAACTGATTTGCTTAGCAGTGGAAATTTTGGGCTCAATTGTGGTCATCAAGTCCTTTCTTACCGCTACTGATTTAAAAAAAATCATGCCACTGTTTTAACTTTGTTTTCTTAATAACTTTGCGGTATTTTGTTGGTGGGGGGAAGAAACACAAAACAGATGGCTGGAAAATAAATTACTGGTAGTCCTCGTTTATCGACAATAATTGGGACTGGCAACTCCAGTCATAAAATGCAATATCATATGTTGCACTGACTTAAGCCAGCAGTTCCAGGTGCCGTTGTTAGCACAATGTCGCCTGATAGACATTGGTGACTTCCTACTAGCTTCCTCACTGACTTTACGTATTGGAAGCTGGCAATGAAGATTGCAAATTACGATTGTGTGACTGTAGGACATTGTGACTGTCATAATTGCAAATCAGTTGCCAAGCACCCGAATCGTGGTCAAATGACCGGAGGGAATGCTGCGACAGCCATAACAACGAGGACCGGTTGTAACTCTCCTCATTCAGCACTGTTGTAACTTTGAATAGTCTCTGAATGAATGGGTGTTAAATGAAGACTACCTCTAGGCGTTAAATATGAGCCTTGGTGGCGCAGTGGTTAAAGTGTGGTATTGCAGGCAAAACTCTGCCCACTGCCTGCAGTTTGATCCTGATGATGGGGCTCAAAGTTGACTCAGCCTTCTGAGATCAGTAAAAGGAAGAGCCAGATTGTTGGGGGCAATATGCAAATAATGCTTCTCTATCAGTGGTCCCCAACTTTGGTCTGGCCGCGGGGGAGGGGCATTTCTGCAAGTGGTGCACCTGCACATGCTCTCTACTTGCGCGAATGGAGGTTCACGCGCAAGCAGAGGGCGCTTGCGCTCACACGCAAAGCTTCGCTCGGGCTCACAACAGTCACTTGCACTTGTGTGCAAAGCTCCACTCACGTGAGCGGGAGGCGCTTGAGCGGAAGGCGCTTGTGCTCACACACGAAGCTCCATTTGCGCGAATGGAGCTTTGCGTGTGAGTGCAAGCCCCTTCCACTTCACGCATAAACTTGCCTGCCACTCATGTCCATGCGCTTCCCCGCTTCGCCTGCAGCCCTGTTTCGAACAGGCCATAGCCCATTAAGGTTGGGGACCCCTGTTCAAGATTGTAAACTACCCAGAGAGTGCTGTAAAGCACTAGGGGGCGGTATATAAGCCTAAATGCCATTTTATTTTTTATTTTATTTTATTTATTTATTTTATTATGTTTTGAAAATTCATACTGTTGCCTACTCACACATGGCGACTCAAGGAGGCTTACATGGATATAAAAACTATATAAAAGAAATAATTTTTTTTTAAAAAAACAAATTAGTAAAATAATAACTCCCCCTCCCCCACCGCAGCAACAACACACATTTATAAAAAACCATTCAACGGGCTCCATCCCGCTCTGGGTTCCTCAGCCCTATTGCTATTCTGGCTGTCCCCAGTAAAGTTCTTTGCTTAAATCGGAGCAACTGTATTCCCAGAATCACAAGGAAGAACCTCCTTATCATTTCATCTCCCAGCACTCACTCTTCTTCTCCATCTCAAGTTGAAACGGCAGGGAACGCTTTTTCCGGGAAGCGTTTTCTTCACATCCGTGCGCTGTGGAAATGAAAAGGGGAAGATGAACGGAAACTCCAAAAAAAAAAATTAAAATAAATCCCACTAAAACAGTATTAAAAGGGATGATTCCTGACGGAAAAAGGAGAGCTGTGGTTTTTAAGAAACGGAAGAACAAAATAAATATTTGTCGGATAGTAAAGCAAGTGACTCAGCGCCAAATGAATGCCCAGGCTATTAGAAAATGGTCAAAATCTGTGAGATTCGGTTGAAATTTCAGATGAGGGAACAAATCTGAGGGGGGGGGCGGGGGAAGCATTCTCCCTGCAAGATTTTGACAGTTTTAATCTCACCTCCTTTTGAGATGACCAAGAAGGTTATTTCATATCTTTCCCTCACAGCTTTGCAATTCATAATGCGCATTTTCTTTATGAATATGACAGGGGTGGGGTGCAAATATTTTTACTACTGGTTCTGTGGGCGTGGCTAAGTGGGCGTGGCCATGTGACTGGGTGGGCATGGCTTCTTTTTTTATGCAGCATCTTCCCTTGCTCCATTTTTTGGGGCCTCCTGGGCCTCAGGAAAACCTCCTGGGCGAAGCATTAAGACAGCAAGGGGGATCACGGCAGTTGATCATTGGAAAAGCTGATAGTCAGGAGGGGGGGAAAAAAAGAAATACCAGTTCAGCCGAACCAGTGGCTGTTTCTTTTACTACCGCTTTGGCCAAATGGTAGCCTTTTTTTTACTACCGGTTCGCCCGAACCAGGCTGAACCGTTAGAATCCTACCACTGTACTATGAGGATAGAAACCGCTGACAATTGCCTCAATGCCTTTATTTTTCTTCAAGACTGGTTACTCACCCTTCCGGAGGACGCTTTGCTGTCCACCCGCACGAATTGAGAGACCAGCATCGGCGAAGATACCCAGTGAATCTTCCCCGCTGCCAGCGGTGCAGCCAAGATCATAACTTTTCATGGCCTCAGAAACCTGATTTTAAGAGGGAAAATAAATACGTCTGTGTGGAAAGATGATAAGGCCAGGAAGTGAGTGAGATCAGAGAAAAAGAGAGACTGCTTCTATCGATATGTGAATGTTTCACTGGACCGGTGTTCCTCAGCGTTGGCAACTTTAAGATGTGTGGACTATAACTCCCAGAATTCCCTAGCCAGGTTAGCTGAAACTAGAAGAGGTGCAAACATAACCAGCAAAGATTTCCCATCTGGAAATTTTTCCTTAGTTCTAGGTTGGATCTCTGCTTAATAAACTTCCATCTATTACTCCAAACCTCCTCATCTTCCACAAGAGCTTTAAAATTTGCCACTGCCAGTTGGCTTGGGGCTCCAGTGGAGGTGGTCTTACACAGGGGTGGGATTCTAGTGGTATAACAGCCGATTCGGTGATCGTGCACTCCGCATTTCAAACAGCTCTAATACTTACCTTTCTCAGCAGTCCCTGTGAAGGAAACAGCTGAGGCGCGGCAAAACATTCCCACGTGAATCAGCTGTGCTCCAAACAAAGGAAGTAAGGGACAGGAAAGAGCAGGGGCAGGCAGGCGGGCGGGCCCACATGCTCGCAGCGAACTGGTTTGGAAACGGCTGATCTTTGAAGGAAGGAGTTCGCCTGAACCGATCCGAACCAGTAGAATCCCCCCCCCCCGGTCTTATATTGGGGATAGTTGACAGACTAATAATAGATCCTACCTCACCCCCCTTTTCATTTTAGGGTCTCCTGCTTGGGCAGGGGGGTGGTTGGACTAGATGACCTACAAGGTCCCTTCCAACTCTGTTAATCTGTAAATCTTATTCCCTCCTTATCTTTTGATTAGGTTTATGGACAGGTAGTTCTCGACTTTCAACCACAATGGAGCCCCAAATCTCTTCTGCTAAGTGAAACAGTTGCTAAGTGAGTTTGGCCCTATTTTACAACCTTTTGTTGCCACAGTGGTTAAGTGAATCACTACAACTCTTAAATTAGTGACACGGTTGTTAAGTGAATCTGGCTTCCTCATTGACTTGGCTTGTCGAAAGGTCGCAAAGGGTGATCACATGACCCGGGTACCCTGCATCCATCATAAGCATGAGTCAGTCGCCAAGAGTCTGAACGAGCCATGGTAAGTTTGAGCGGTCGCTAAACGAACTGTTGTAAGTTGAGGACTACCTGTATTTTATCTGTTTTCTGAGATCGTTTCTATTGTGTATAGGTTTTATCTTTTTAACAGTGTAATACTGCCCAGAGTTACCTTGGGGTGAGACGGGCAGTAAATAAATATAAAGAATGAATGAATAAATATAAATATAAAAATAAACATAAAAATAAACATATATATATATAATTTTATTTCTCGCCCTTCCCTCAGGTGTCTAAATGTGCCCATCAAATTCCCAACCACATTACACAAGGAATCGTGTTTCCCAAATGCCCAAGAAGAGCGGCTGAAGCAGAAGGCACCATACCTTGCCTTGCGTGAGTCGATTCTTCCCATTGAGGGCATAAACGGCAGCATCCGTGGCAGAGAGAGAGACGAAGGATTTGGCATCCGTGTTTATGGTGAGTGACAGGCGTGACTGTGGCTGCAGGTGGTCTATGTTTGAGGAGGAGCGGATCTCCAGCTGAAGGTTGGAAAGACAGAAGGAGGGAGAAGTAGGACAGTTAAACCCCAACTTCTTCCTTGATCTCCAGATGGGAGAGGTGACATGAATTACCTGAGAATTCCAGAAGCGTTCTCCAAAATATTGGGAAAGTAATGGGTAGGTCTTCCCTTATTTTTCCTTCCTTGCTCTCTTCCCATCTTTTTCTCTGTCTTTCCTCTTTCCCTTTCTCCTTTCCTGTCCCTTCTTGCATGCTCGAATGCAAAAGGGGAAGCATTTCTCCTTTTGTTTTGATAGCCCTCTGCTAGCAAAAACAGAGTTTTGGGGGGCCCTCCGTGCCTCATTTTTGGCCACAACGGCCTCCTGCAACTTTCTGCCAGTGAAAATGGAGCATAGAGGAGACTTACATGCACCCCCGCCCCCGAACTCCATTTTCGCTGGCAGAGGCCGCGCGAGCCAGTCCTTTGCTTTTTCCCAGGCTGGCTCAGCGGGCCAGATCTAAGCACCCTGTGAGCCGAATCCGTCCCCCGGGCCTTGAGTTTGACACCCCTGCGCTACACCAAAAACCAAGCCAAGCACCGAATGGAATGCGGGTATGTTCGCAGGGAGTGAAACAACTGACTATCTTTGAAAGAAATCACTGGCACGAAACGCTGGCGTGGATTCGGAAACACAAACCCCCCTCCTAAAGGCAACATACCTTCCCCTCGCAGCGGGAGACTACTTCCAACCATATGGAGTTAGAGACAATTTCATCCTCAAGGCGGTAAAAGGCCACCACACGAAACGTTGGCATCAGATTAGGTGTAATGGGAATAAGGACTGCTGTGAGTGTGCCACGCGGAACGCTGCTTACAGAGACGATGTCCCCTTTGCTCAAAACCTGCAGGAAAACGATCAAAACAGTGTTTAAACACAGAGGCAGACCTTCCAGAATTTATAACAACAACAACAACAATAACAACAATAACAATAATTCCATAACCCAGTACAGGTCAGTCCTCAACTTACAGCCACAACCGAGCCCCCGCATTTCCATTGCTGAGTGAGACCTTTGTTGAGTTTTGCCCCATTTGACAACTTTTCTCACTGCAGTCGTTAAGTGAATCACGGCCTTTATTAGATTAGTAACGTGGTTGTTCAGCAAATCTGGCTTCCCTGTCGACTTTGCTGGTCAGCTGGTCACCAAAGGTACACGACCCAAGGATACCGCAACCGTTATAAATAGCGGCTAGTTGCCAAGAGCCCAAATTTTCACTACACGACTATGAGGATTCTGTTGTAATCATAAGTGTGAACAATGGTCACTTTTTTCAGTGACGGTGTAACTTCAAGTGGTCACGAAATGAATGGTTGCGTTCTGACCCAGCTCCCCAAACATGACAAAGTTTGAACTTCTGAAGTTCAAACTGCCCAAGGAGCTGCTGGTATACTGTAGTTCGACAGAGGAATTACTGAGTCTGTCATCTGCACCTCTATAACTGTCTGGTTTGGTTCTGCAACCCAACAGGACAGACACAGACTTCAGAGGATAATTAGGACTGCAGAAGAAACAATTACTACCCACCTGCCTTCAATTGAGGACCTGTATACTGCACAAGTCAAAAAGAGGGCTGTGAAAATATTTACAGACCCCTCACATTCCGGACATAAAATTGTTTCAATTCCCTCAAAACGATGCTATAGAGCAGGGGTCCCCAACCGCCGGTCCGCGGACCGATACCGGTCCGCGGAACAACTCTTACCGGGCCGCTGGTTGCTGGGCGCCGCCATCTTTTTTTGGTAAAAAAGTGCTTCCGGTGAGCTTTTCCGGGTAGAAAGCTCACCGGAAGCACTTTTTCGTCAAAAAAAGATGGCGGCGCCCAGTTGATGCCGGTACCGGGCCGCGGCGCCCAGCTGATGCCGGTACCGGGCCGCGGCGTCAAAAAGGTTGGGGATCCCTGCTATAGAGCACTGCACACCAGAACAACTAGGCACAAGGGGAGTTTTTTTCCTGAACGCCATCACTCTGCTCAGTGGTGGGATTCAAGTTTTTTTACTACCGGTTCTGTGGGCGTGGCTTGGTGGGCGTAGCAGGGGAAGGATACTGTAAAATCTCCAGTCAGAGGTGGTATTTGCCGGTACTCTGAACTACTCAAAATTTCCACTACTGGTTCTCTATGGAGTTTTCGGTCTAGGCTTCTCAGTTTCCCAATTGAAACTATGGTTAAATGTGTCCATGTGTTGCACAATTAAGGAGTTTTCATCACATCTTCAGACTGCTAATTGGAGTTCATGGATGCACTCTGCTAATCTTCTGCCCAGTTCTTCAAGCAAACACCCACCGACATTGACAGGACAAGCCACTTTTACATAAACAGAGAGAACCACCAGAGTCTCGTGAACATCTCCCACCAAACCTCCTGAAGGGACTCACTGTCATGCCCTTGTTGGAGTCTGATTCTAAGGGGGAGATTGACCAGCTGACAGGGAATGGGAGTGTGGCTGTGGCTGTGGAAGAAACGGGGGAAGGGCATAGTTTGGCTGGGCATTCAGAGGAAGAGCCGGAGCCATCCCCTCTTCATCCTTAGGGCATGCAGGGAGGAACAGAGAAGGGAGCAACGTGGCTTATGGGAGAGAAAAAGGCCTGATCCCTTTCATTAGTTGCAGCTGGGAGAACAGGATATAAATGGGGCGTTTGCACGCACTCCTTGCTGGAAGCAAAGTGTCAGCCTTCAAGATTTGTTTCCTTTGCTTTGCATCTTTCGGCTGCCATAGTAATGGAGGGGAGGGGTGAAATAATTGTGGGAACTGAGCTGGAGGCTTTGAGAATAAACTGTATAACTTGTGGGGGGAAAGTTACTTGTTTATGCTTCTTTGCTGTGCTATGCGCAAGAGCAACTTTTTATCAAAATAGGGCAAGGTCAACGGCCATCAGATGTCTGCATCATTACCTGAAGATGCCCCACGACATTAGATGCAACTTTAATTGGACAGACAGTTTGAACTATTGTGGGTGGGAACGTTGCCATCACTTTGTATATGTGATTTTTGCGCTCAATTCCTCAGATTCATAATTCCTTTGATGCTACCATTTTATTTCCAGTAAAAGATATCTTTTCTCTAATTAACGGAATCTAAGTGTTTCTTTGTTGGATTTTGAAATGAGCACCACCTGACACAAACATGCATTATCTTTGTTGAGGCTTATCTGGGTTCTGGCATCCTCCCAACTGTGGGTGCTGCGTTATACTTTGAAAGTCTGCAATTTATCATCCTGGCCTGCCATGTTAATTACTTCAGCGTGGTTTGTGTTGTTTTTTATTTCTAATAACTTTGGGTTCAGACTGCATTTCTGCCCTTCGTAGACTGTTTTTTGAAGAGTTTGATCTCCAGCCGAGGATAATTGGACATTGGGGCCAAGTTGGAGGCATTAAAGGGAATTTATTCTACTTTTGGGACTTCGTTATTTTTGTGTCATTCCCCGGGTCATCACACTCACCATGTAATAGATGTCGGTGAAGGCATTTGATCCAATGGGTTTCAATTCAATTGTGAGGGTCTGTCCAATATTCAAGCCATAACTTTTGGGAGTTTCAATGATCAAATAGTTGCCTCTGGGGGATTTGGTGGCCTTGGCGGTCAGGGTTGCTTCTGCTGGACTCTCTGTTCCCGCTGTTAGCTGTGGGAAAAACAAAGATAGTCAGGCTCTTTTATAAACATACTAGACTAGACAGAGGGGATGTCAAGAGCCATGGTGACACAGTGGTTAGAATGCAACATTGCAGGCTAATTCTGCTGACTGCCGGCTGTCAGCAGTTAGGCAGTTCAATTCTCACTGGCTCAGTAAAGTGAGGAGCCAGACTGTTGGGGGTAACATGGAGACTCTGTAAACTGTTGAGAGACGGCTGTAAAGCATTGTGAAATGGTATATAAGCCTAAGTGTTAAGGGGTGAGATTCAGCCGATTTAGACCAGTTTGGGTGAACTGCGAGTTCCGGCGATTGTTTGGCCCCGCCCACCTGCCCCTGCGCTAGGCTGTCCTATATCTCCTTTGTTTGAAGCCCAGCTGATCGATGCGGCAGCGAGGATTGCCGCGCTTCAGCAGTTTTTACTCACCGGGGCTGCAGTAAAAGCTAAGTTTTCTTGCTATTTTCAAATGGAATGCGCAGGCGCAGCGTGCAAAGCGCATGCTCACCGAACTGGTTGTTACACCGCTTGAATCCCACCACTGTCTAAGTGCTGTTGCTATTATGGAGGGACAGTTCCAATGAAAGATTTATCATCTATTTATCTATCTACTGTGTCTGTCTGTCTGTCTGTCTGTCTATGTATCATCTATATATGTGTGTGTCTATGTATCTATGTATCTATGTATCTATGTATCTATGTATCTATCTATCTATCTATCTATCTATCTATCTATCTATCATCTATCTATCTATCTATCTATCTATCTATCTATCATCTATCTATCTATCTGTCTATCTATCTATCTATCTATCATCTATCATCTATCATCTATCTATCATCTATCTATCTATCTATCTATCTATCTATCTATCATCTATCTATCTATCTATCTATCTATCTATCTATCTATCTATCTATCTATTTCATGTACAGGTAGTCCTCGACCTATGGGCACAATTGAGCCCAAAATTTCCATTGCTAAGCAAAAGTTAAGTGACTTTTGCCCCATTTTATGACCTTTCTTGCCACCGTTGTTAAAAGAATCACTGCAATTGTTGCTTTCCTATTGCTTGTCAGAAGTTCGCAAAATCACATGACCCTGGGACATTGCAACAGACATAAATACATGCCAATTGCCAAGCATCTGTATTCTGATCACATTACCATGGGGATGGTACAACGGTTGTAAGTGTGAATAGTGGCCATAACTCACTTTTTACAGCACCATTGTAACTTCAAACAGTCATTAAATGAACTGTTGTAAATCAAGGACTACCTGTACAGAATGCATACATATACATATATACAGAGAGAGACACGGTGGCTCAGTGGCAAAGATGCTGTGCTTGTCGATCAGAAAGGTTGGCAGTTCAGCGGTTTGAATCCCTACCACCGCGTAACGGAGTGAGCTCCCGTTACGCGTCCCAGCTGTGTAACGGAGTGAGCTCCCGTTACTTGTCCCAGCTTCTGCCAACCTAGCAGTTTGAAAGAATGTAAAAATGCAAGTAGGAAAATAGGGACCACCTTTGGTGGGAAGGTAACAGCATTTGGTGCGCCTTCGGCATTTAGTCATGCTGGCCACATGACCACGGAGATGTCTTCGGACAGCGCTGGCTCTTTGGCTTTGTAACGGAGATGAGCACCACCCCCTAGAGCCAGAAATGACTAGCGCGTTTGTGCGAGGGGAACCTTTACCTTTATCTATAACTATACATACACATACATTTGTGTGTATGTATATGTATGCCCATTTGCTGTGTACATATAGACATACAAACACATTTTGCTATAATTGTCTCTCTTCCTCCCCTCCTGTCCCCTCCCTTTTGATGGGTGGAGCAATACCGTGACAGTGACTGCGGAAGAGCCTTGAGCAACATTGATTCCATAGTTCACAATTCCCTCATTATTAGTGTTCATCTGTTTATCCACGGGAGATTGTGCTCCGGTTATGCGGGTTCTGAAGCGGACCGGGAGATCAGAGGCTGGTGAGCCATCTGGCAGTGTGATTCGAGCCTGGAGGAAGTGGAAGAAAATCCAGAATGTTTTATTAACAACGATAAGTGGGAGTTTTAGAATTCAAGCAGACAAGCACCAGCCACATAAACAGTCCAGACTTAACAAGTGTTGGTAAAAAAAAGTCAAAACAAAGTCTAAATCAGTGATGGCTAACCTATGACACGCGTGTCACTCGTGACACGCCGAGGCACTTTGACTGACACGCCTGTTGGTGTGGGGAAAACCTGCACATTTAGAGGCTGCCTGTGCTCTGCTCCAATCCCTGCTCCCTGCTTGTTGCGTGGAGGCGTGGTGTCACCGCTGCCGCAAGATCTTTGCAGCAGAGAACCAGTTTTAATCGCCATAAACTGAGGTTTGTCAGTTTCATTACCTCAGGAACGCTACAGGAGGAAAGGAGATCCATGAGGTTCACAGCCCTGTAAGGTGGCCTTCCGATCCCCACATCCTGCACCTGCAGCCCTGAGACCAGGGAGACGAGTTTCACAGCCCTGTGTGATCACCCCAGCCCAGTCCGTCATAAACCAAATTATTGCTATTTCTTGAAGTGACACACGACCCGAGGAAGGCTACACTTTTTCCCGATTTTCGACACACCAAGCTGAAAAGGTTAGCCATCACTGGTCTAAATAGTGGCCTTTGCAATACTTGGAGACAGCAGAAGAGAAGAGAAAGAACTGGGGAAAAATCACAAAATATAAAGACCTGCAAATACAAGTGGAATGACTATGGCAAAAGAAAGCAAGGATGGTAACAACAGTAATAGGTGCTTTGGGTCAATGGTGGGATTCAAATTGTTTTACCGTTGGTTTGCCTAGCGCAGCTTTCCCCAACACCAGCAGAGACCTGCAGGGCCATTCAGCTGAGAGGATCAAGAAGAAAGCGCAGGGGCGTGTGGGAGGGCTGATCCTGCGCTTTTCTCTCTTTTTTCCTCTCAGCTGATTGTCGGAGGAATTTTTTCCCCTCCTCTCAACCGATCATCCGCTTTTTTTTTTTACTACCGGTTCGGGTGAACCAGTCCGAACCGGTAGCATACCACCACCGCTTTGGGTGCAATCCCAAAACATCTGCCGCACTACTTGAAGACCATCGACATTGACCATATCCCTACCAGTCAATTGCAGAAGGCAGCTTTTCTTAGAATGGCTTCCATCCTACGACAATACCTTTAACACCACCAAACAACAACATTTGTCTAGCCGACGTCCTGGGGAAGTACTTGATTAGTGGATAGAAATGCCAAATCTAGAGTCCTTTCTACTTGGAATGATAGAACTGACATGGAGCAAAAAAACACCAGCATCTGATATCACATATTGTCAGCCTCAAGATATCTTCCTAATAATATCTTCCTAATAAGTATATTCTGTCTTCTAACTATTGCATATCTGCTGCTATGCTAATTTACTTCTTTCGGCTGTCATGAAATGGTGGGAGGGGGGAATCTTGGAGGGGAAGAAGGCAGGAGGTGTTTTGCATTCTTTTGCTGGGTTAGCAAGGGGAGGGGGGATTCTTTTCCTTAACTTTCCATTTCTTCGCTAGCCTCTGTCCCTTTTTGCGCAACTGCGAACTTTTATCAAAATATGTCAAGGTCAACTGACAATAGCCTCATCACCACCTGGAGATGACCACATGATCATATTCAGAAGTTTTAATTGGAAGAATCGTTTGAACTTTGGGGGGTGGGAGCAATTCTATTCCTTTGTATATGTGTTCTACCCGCCAATTTCTTAGTTTCGGAATTGGCTCTGTCGTTTCCACTTTATTTTCCAGTAAAAGAAAAATCCTGCTCTACACTATGGAGTCTGAGTATTTCTTTCTTGGGATTTAGAGGGAGCACAGTCTGACACATATCATTACAGCAGCAAGAATAGTCTTTGCCCAAAACTGGAAATCAACAATGACACTCACGGACCTGGCAATAACTAATAAAATCCACCAATGTGCAGAAATGGTTAGACTAACCATGTTACTAAAAAATAAGGAAGAGCGTTTTTGTTTTTTAACCACTTGGAATATATGGTATAAACGGTTGTATAAAAAGGAAGTAAAGATGTCTAGTGAAACCGATTAAACAAACAACAAGGGAAAATGTAAATAAGGATAAATGTATATACAGCTATGTATGTATGTAAAATAATATAATTAATCCATTAAATAAATATTGTATTATAACTGAAATAATAACATAAAAAAGTAAGGATCTAGGAAACAAGTTATAGATTTACTTGTAACAAATGACTTTAATTGACGCTAATAGAAATGTACACTGCTATGAAAACGTTGCAAAAATGTAAGAACACGTTTCTTGTTTTTTTTAAAATATATATTTTTTTGTTTTGAAACTTTCAATAAACATATTTTAAAAAATGCCAAATCTAGTTTAAACCTTTGGCTGACTTCCAGCCATAATACTGTAGTTTAAATGTATTGGTCTCCCAGTGAACTTTATGGGGTTTAGTTGTATATCTACAGCTGAGACATGCCACAAGTGGACATTTGCGAGAACAAACACATTCCTATGGGCAGACTGATCTGCAGGAAGCCGCTGAGAGTTCTGGATTGAGGTGGGGTAGACATGTAGGCAACAGATCAATAAAAACAGATGAATGTGTTCAACGCATGCTCTCTCTCATCCATAGAGTACGGATTTCCACTTACAGATTTTGGTGAACTACATCTCCCACAATTCTCCTCTTTATCGGTTGGGTAACTCACCCAACAGTTAGGTAAATCACCCAAACCACATTGTTCAATAGGAGAAGAAGAAGAATTTATAAGTAGTTCTCGGCTTGCAACAGTACATTTAGTGACCATTCAGAGTTACAATGGCACTGGGAAAAGTGACCCATGACCGTTTTTCACACTTATGACTGTTGCAGCCTCCCCATTGTCACATGATCAGGATTCAGGCACTTGGCAACGGATTCGTGTTTATGACGGTGGCTGTGTCCCTGGGTCATGGGATCACCTTTTGCGACCTTCTGGCAAGCAAAGCCAATGGGGAAGCCAGATTCACTCAGCAACCATGTTACTAAGTCGACAGCCACAGTGATTCCCTTAACAACGGTGGCAAGAACGGTCGTAAAATGGGGCAAAGCTCGTTTAACAATTGTCTTGCGTAGCAACAGAAAGGTTGGGCTCCATTGTGGTCTGTTTTGTGAGGTTTGTAAGCCACTCCAGCTGAAGCTGACGCTTAAGTGGTGTGCAATTCCCAACTTCCCTTTAGGTGAGAATCTGATTTAGAGATATTTTGCCTTTATGTTCTCTGTCGCTCCTTTCTCATTTTCTACCCCCCATTTGGAGAGGAGACAATCCAGTGGAGATGTAAAGGGGCTGGCTTTCTCTCATCCTGTTCAGGGGTGGGATTCTACTTGGTTGCACCAGTTCTAGAGAACTGGTTGTTGCGATTCTGCGCAGTTCGGATAACCAGCCAATTGCACCAATTGGCTGGCCCTGCTTGCAAGCAAATTTTATGTGACAAACTCAGGCAGCAGATTGCAGAACGGTAGATCTCTGAGTAAATCTGTGATTCTGGAAGCAACTCAACCTGCCTGCTTTGCTTTGCCTGATTTTGGGTAAAAGCTGCTCTTTTTTAAAAAATAAAGAATTCAATATTTACATAAATATTTACAATATTTACATACAAGCCACGGCCAGCCAGTCACGTGACCACCAAGCCACGCCCACAGAACAGGTGGTTAAGAAATTTGAATCCCACCCCTGATCCTGTTCCTAACTGGGCTTCCATGGGGTTTGTAAAACTCTTATACACAGTGAGCAGCTAAATGTCTGTGGAGATTCTCAGTCATCCAGGTCATGGTTTTCCCAAAGGTGCTTCCCCCTGCCACCCCCCGAGGAAACTGGATATTTTGTTTTTCTTTGAAGACGTTTCGCTTCTCACCCAAGAGGCTTCTTCAGCTCTTCTACACAATCTTTTCAAAAGACATGCCAGTCACTTATCTACCACAAAATATTAGAGGTGAACCAGCGAATTATTAAGGAGCCTCTGTGGTGCAATGGTTAGAGTGCAGTACTGCAAGCTACTTCTGACAGCCAGCTGCCTATAATTTTGCAGCTCAAATCCCACCAGGCTCAAGGTTGACTTAGCCCTCCAGACTTCCGAGGTGGGTAAAATGAGGACCCAAATCGTTGGGGGCAATAGGCTGACTCTGTAAACCACTTAGAGAAGGCTGTAAAACACTATAAAGCAGTATATAAGTTTAAGTGCTATTCCTAAATTACTAAGTGTGTCAGGCTACGCTCACATGAACCTGCGTAAAGTAAGCATTGGATTTTGCTCCAATTTCTGATAAGCTCTCTGATAATATTTTTCTTATTTTTTCTTATTTTTTTCTTATTTTTCTTATTTTCTTATTTTTCTTATTTTTTCTTATTTTTCTTATATGTACCCATTTCATGTATTCACAACTATGTATACATTTATACTTATTATCTTGTAAACAATTGGCAAATCAAATAAATAAAAATAAATAAATACCAGCTCCAATAATAATCAAGCCGCCTCAAAAATGCAATTCACCCCTCATCCCCCCAATGGGTTCTCTGTCCCACTCCTTAAAATCTTTCCACGAACACCCTAAAGAATTTCTAAAGCTTTCCAACTGCGTTTCAGACGATCCATTGCAATGGTCCTGCATTTAAGGATATGTTTCACCAAAACAATGACCTCTGGTGGTTAGAAGTTATATCTCTAAAGCCCAAAACAGCTGATAGATCCACACTCAGGATGCGAATTCAGCCCTGACCTGTTCTTGAGGGGGGGGGGGAATGCACACATTGTCCTCATTTGTCTCTAGCCTCCTAAAAAATTATTTATTTGTTTAAATTTAGAGTCAGTGACTCTGGACGGCTTGAAAAAGTTGACACCTACCCATTGTTTCTTGCTATTTATATAATATATATATTATTTGTGATAGTGATTTTTTTTTTTTACTCATGCCATCTTAGGGTTTCCTTGATTTAATACATATGATTGCAGATAGACACTTCTGACTTGAATTAGTTACTCTTCTCAGCAACACAAATGCCCTTTTGCTGGCTGCCCTTCACGGGTGCTTTTTTAAAAACAAAATTATCACTGAAATGCTGTATTTAAACTTTATTTTTACAAGTTTGTTGTTGCAAAAGTGAAATAATGGGCTTGCTTTTTTAAAAAAAGTCAATAGGTAATATTGGTCAGAGTTCTGCCATTTTCTCCTTCTAGATCAGAGTTTCTCAATATGACAACTTGAAGGTGTGTGGACTTCCACTCCCAGAATCCCCCTAGTTGGCTGGGGAATTCTGGGAGTTGAAGTCCACACACCTTCAAGTTGCCACATTGAGAAACTCTGGTCTAGACTAAGTGGTGTGAAAATTGGAAAAATTGTAAGATTATTTTTTTTGCGTTTTTTTTGTTTGTTTGTCTGAATTGCTTCTGGGGAGGCAAAGAAACTGGGAAGTCCGACTGGGAGTCAAGGCAATCAGAACAACAGACTTTTCCCCCTGGCCAAACCAACAACTGGATTTCTTAAGCCACTGTTCTGACCTAGGCTTCACAAAACCATGAAACAGACTCCTCATCCCCACAAAACAGCTTTTTATGAGGCTAATGTGAATTCCTATCACTCACATCCAGCAAAGTCCCGGCAAACAGTGTTTCAAGGATGAATTACAACCACAGACCTTATCAGGCTTGGAGAGCTGTCAGGATGAAGCGAACAAATTTTCACACTAATTAAACGAACTAACTGTCTCCTGAAAACACCACTCTCCCCTTTTGCTCCTCTTTACTCCCTATGGGAGGGGCCATTCACCGTCCACCTGTGCCTTTACTCCCGAGTCAACCCTTGTTCCTTAACTGTTCCCTTCTCCTGGCAGCTCTGCACATGAGCACATTGGGAACAGGCTCCAGCAGTTCTTCTGCCCCACTGATCTCCGACTCCGAAGGCAGCTGATCCCATCTCTGCCTCTGATGCAGAACACTCATCAGAGCGTTACCCAGACTCCGGGACTGGCCCATGTTCTTCCCCAACCTCCTCACTGTCCGAGTCTGCTGCCAGTTCCACTGGCCGCTGGCAGGCCACAATAGCCACTTTCATTTCTAGCTGTGTTACACACCAGTGTCAAGCTGCTGAAGTGTGCAAAACCCAGTGTTTGGAATTCAGAAATGTGAAGGACAACCAGAATCAACATGCATCCATTCTGACAACCACACCGCCCATGTTGGATGATGAACAGAGCAGAAAAACACAGCACATACCAGCACTTCGTACGGAGCATTGGGCACAAAATAACGCTTGGTTTTCGACAGGTCCACTGTATAAGGCGATGATATGAATTTCACCGAGGTGAGTTCTTGTTCCTCCAGTTCTCCACCTAGGAGAATGAAGAAAAGGTCAACAAGCCACCCGTAAACTTAACCAAGTTTTGCAGAGACGCTGAAGTCCCAGGTTAGATGAGAAGAAGGTTAACAAATCAGTAACACTTACAGGGAGACCTCGACTTCGTTTAGTGACCATTCAAAGCTACAATGGCACTGAAAAATGTGACTTATGACCATTTTTCACACTTACGACCACTGCAGAATTCCCCACGGTCACGTGATCAGAATTAGGATGTTTGGCGACTGGTTCCTATTTGTGGCGGTTGCAGTGTCCTGGGGTCATGTGATCTCCTTTTGTGACCTTGTGACAAGCAAATTGACTGGGGAAGCCAGATTCATTTCACAACTGTGTTACTAACTTAACAGCCGCAGCGATTCGCTTCACAGCTGTGGCAAGAAAGGCTGTAACATGGGGCAAAACTCACTTAACAACAGTGGTGGGATTCAGCCAGATCGCACCACTTTGGGAGAACCGGTTGTTAACTTTCTGAGCAGTTTGGAGAACTGGTTGCTGGAAGAACTTAATAGGTCAGAGAACCCGTTGTTAAACTATTTGAATCCCACCACTGCTTAACAACCGTCTCTCGCTTAGCAACAGAAATTTTGGGCTCAATTATGGCCATAAATCAAGGATTACCTACATTTGCTTTGTTCAGTCTGGCTGATTTGAAACAATGAGAACGGTGGGAAACAAACAACATTTGTTAAACAAGCCCAGATTGATTGAGTTTATATACCACACTCAGCTACAAATTCTGGTTTATAAATCACAGTGGCCGGATTCATTCTATACTCTCAACTCTCAACCAAATTCTCAGCTGGAGGCTAAAACATATGAAGAACGGTGGCAGGAACTGGTTATGTCTGATGAAAAGAAGGACTAGGGAAGACATGATAGCAGTCTTCCAATATCTCAGGGGCTGCCACAAAGAAGAGGGAGTCAAGCTATTCTCCAAAGCATTTGAAGGCAGGACAAGAAGCAATGGGTGGAAACTAATCAAGGAGAGAAGCAACCTTAGAACTAAGGAGAAATTTCTTGACAGTGAGCAAAATTAATCATTAAACGTCTTGCCTCTAGAAGTTGTGAAGGCTCCAACACTGGAAGTTTTTAAAAAGATGTTGGATAACCATTTGTCTGAAGTGGTGTGGAGCAGTGGTGGCTAACCTTTTTGGGCTCCTGTGCCAAAAATTGTGTGCACACTTGTGCTTGCGCGCTCGCGTGTCAGCAGCCAGAAGGCGATGTACCCACCTCCCACAAACCCCCTGCACTTGCGCGCACAATTCCCCACCCCCTTAACCTGCACTGTGCCTCCCAGCTGATTTTCGGCCCATCTGAGGCCTTTTTTCAGCCTCCCAGAGGCTTGAGGAAAGCCTGTGCAGCCTTTGCAGGCCGAAAAATGGGCCCGCTTCATCACTTCAGGTATCTCTGGAAATACAGGAAGTGACGAAACGGGCCTATTTTTCAGCCTGCAAAGGCTGCACAGGCTTTCCTCAAGCCTCTGGGAGGCCAAAAAAAAGGCCTCAAAAGGGCCGAAAATCAGCTGGGAATAAGTCCTCCCCCTCCTCCATTATTATCCAGTTTGCCATAGGTTCGCCATCACAGGTGTAGGGTTTCCTGCCTAGGCAGGGGGTTGGAGTAGAAGACCTCCAAGGTCCCTTCCAACTATTCTATTCTATTCTATTCTATTCTATTCTATTCTATTCTATTCTATTTCTATTCTAAATAACTACATTATGGTTTAGCAAAGTGTGTGAATCCCTGCTTCTAGGGATAAAATGAGCTGGGCCAGTCAGCGGGTCAGTCCCATTGTATGAAAGAGGTGACACAGCTTTACTTTCGCATGAAGGCTTTCAAATCAGCCTTTTAATTGTGCAGTGGTTTTGCCCCGTTGACAGATTTTATAAAGGGTCCAGAGACTGCATTGTTTCCTGTCTATAGGATTCCCCGTACCTTCTCTCGCCATTTTTCTTATCGCTGGAAAATGGTTAAGAAAGGAAAGGCAGGTAGAGGAGGGTAAAAAAATGGGCCACCCAGAAGTTCTGGAAGGTCAGAAACAGGCCCGTTTTTAGCCTCTAGAGCAGTGGTCCCCAACCTTTTTTGTACCACGGCTCGGTACAAATGATCCACGGACCGGTACCGGCATCAGCACGCACGACCAAGGCAAGGCGAGCCGAGCGACTGGCCAGCCAGCTGTCCCCCGCTTCTCCCAGCCACCTTCAACTCCTCCTTTGTACCTTCTCGCGGTCGATGGGCTTTTCGGGCTCTTTCTTAATCTCCCGAGTAACGCGAGACTCCACCGCCATTGGGACGGCTCTTCGCTCGAAGCCGCCCCCCCCTCTTCGACGAAACTAAGGCGCGAGGATTCCTTCAGCACCCAAACGCTGCTTTCCAACCGACAAGCTCACCCAGAAGCACTTTCTCAAGCGCTGTCGAAACAAGATGGCGGCGCCCAAGCAAAATAGGCGGCCCGGTACAAAATGATCCGCGGACCGGTACAGGTCTGGGGTCCGGTGGTTGGGGACCACTGCTCTAGAGGGCTTCCGGAGGCCGGGGGAGGCTGTTTTCGCCCTCCCAGAGGCTCAAGGAAAGACTCCAGAGCTTGGGAAGGGTGAAAACACCCCCCCACACCATGGTGCAGGAGGCCAACTAGGCCACGCCCACCATGGCCACGCCCACCCAGCAACCGGGTAGAGAACCAGTTGCTGTTATTTTTGAAGCCCACCCCCGGTGCCAGAGTAACTTCAAACAGTCACTAAATGAACTGTTTATAAGTAAAGGACTCCCTGTGCTATTCTTGAGCTGGGCTATAAGAACAGAATCTTGCAAATCTGATTGTCCTCCTCCTTCTTATACTCCGGGGAATTAGGGAGGTCTCTGTCTGAGCCATTTCTCAATGTTCTCTGGGCATTCAGAACTTAAAAATGTTTTAACCTTTCTTGTCTTGGCAACAGGGCCTGCCTATTTCCCTCAAAGTCGTCTTCCTTATCTCCACAGAGGTTCTCCAAGAATAGCCTGGGAGTCAAAACACACGTTAGATCAGTGGGGTCAAACTCAAGGCCAGGGGCCAGATCCGGCCCACGGGATGCTTAGATCTGGCCCGTGGGGCTGCCTGGAAACAGCAAAGGACCGGCCTGCGATGCCTCTGCCAGTGAAACCAGAGGCCATCGCAGCTGAAAACGGAGCTCATGAGGGCTGTGTGAGGCCCTCCCGAGCTCCATTTTCACTGGCAGAGGGTTGCAGGAGGCCGCTGCAGCTGGAAACGGAGCTTGGGAGCCCATTTTCGCTGGCGGAGCACTCGGGCCGCTAAAGGCGCCCCCGACACAAGTGACATCAAGCTGCCCAGGCCCCCTGGCCACGCCCCTCCCAGTCCTCCCAAGGTAAAACACAACCCTGATGTGGCCCTCAATGAAATCAAGTTTGACACCCCCGCGTTAGATGTAAGCTGTGGCCAATTCAGCACTGCAGCCAAAAAAATTCCCAGGGATGTGTCTGGGAAACCACAACTCGAAGGCGATGGTCCTTTTTTTAAAAAAAAAAAAACTTATGGGCTACCACTAATATTTATTATTCTTGTTTAAGACCAGCTAGGCCTTGAGATTCTATCACCGAGCTCTAAGCCCAGTCCTCCATCCACAATAAGGCTATGTGTCCTAAGTAATAAGGTTTAACAATTGACAAACAAGTCTCTGGCCTGTTTGTAGATCGCTTCTTGTCAGTAGCTTATGAAGCCATCATGTTTCATTTTTGCTACGCTGCTCTCCTTTCATTAAACAAGGAAGTGAAGATGGAATAATTTCCTTTCTATTCCCCCTCTGACGGCACAAGTAAATCAAGTAAACCCTGACAATACTCTTCTACAAAGCCCTAAAGAATTAATTTACGTAATACCACCTGACAGCAGTCCTTCTCACAGGTGTTGGCTAAAAAGTAATATAAATTTAGCACAAGCAAAGGAAGCTTCTCCCTTGCCACCATGAAAGCCTTGAAAAGCATAAACAATTCCAGCTCGTGTGGAATACAAAACACCCTTCCACCTTTATTTCTCCTTTATTGGTACTCTTCCACTATCTGATGTGCTCAAGATGTCCGGTGCAAACCTAATACATTTGTAAGGGACAGAAATGGATAAAGCATTTGGTCCAGTGGTACCTTGCTACTCATTGTTAATCGGTTCTGGGAGCAGTGACGAATTCCAAAAACAAATAAGTACCAAACAATTTTTTCCCCATAAGGGATAATATTAGTGAATCACAAGACAGCTGACACAAACAGGTTCTAGCTTGTGTGTTGATTACTAAACAAACAATGAGTACCGGGACAAAATGTTCCCGTCAAAATGAGTACCAAACTCAATGAGTTTCAAAGCTGTTGAGTATCAAACTTACTTGCTGTCTCTATGACGGAGGCTGCGATGTAAAGGGATGTTCCAACAAGGTCCTGCAGGGGGCGCCCCACTTTCTGAGCGAGAAAACTGCGCTGCAAAACCAGCGAGCCTTCGCCATCCTCGATCTGAAACAGGGAAAATTAGGATGGTGTTACGGTCTAAAAAATCACATCTGGTGTATGCATATTACCACAGATACCATTCGGCCATGACTGAGATCCAGAAACAATGGAAATTTTAGGCTCCGTTTTGTTCGTAGGTCGAGGACTGCCTGTTTCTGTTCAGCTTTATCTATAAATTGCACAGATTCACGTCAATCGTGTGATGGGTGGGGTATATATTTGATTAGTAAGTTAATAAGGAAGCATGTTAAGTTCAAAGCGTGCCCTGATTGCCACTTCGATGTAGTAATCAAGGCACCCAGAGCATGCTTTGAAGTTAGCGTGTTTATTTATTGAGACTGTGAGCTCTAATGCTGCTTTCGGCATGAAGCCAGCTGGGTGGCTTTGGGTCAGTCCCTCCCTCTCAGCCAGGGATGGTTTTCAAAAATTTTAGCAACTGGTTCTCTGCCCGGTTGCTGGGTGGGCGTGGCCAGGGTGGGCGTGGCCTAGTTGGCCTCCTGCACCATGGTAGGGGGGGACCTTTTTGCCCTCCCCGGATTCCCGAGGCTTTTCTTGAGCCTCCGGGAGGGTGAAAATGGCCTCCCCAGGCTCCGGAGGCTCTCTGGAAGCTGGAAACGGGCCCATTTCCGGCCTTCCCGAACTTCCGGGAGGCCTGTTTTTCGCCGTCCCTGAGCCTTACCTGCATCCAAAACCGTCTGCGTGGGGGCTCCTGGGAGGGGAGGGGTCGGCAGGGCCAACCAGAAGTGGGGTTTGAGGGTTCTCTAAACTGCACAGAATCTTAGCTAGGGGCTCTCCCGAACCCCTGCAAACCCCCAGCAGTCCATCTCTGCTCTCAGCTCCAGGAAGGAGGAGGAGGAGGAGGAGGTAAGGACAGACCACTTCCAAAAATGTACCTGAGAAAATTACACCAGGACTTGTCCAGGCAATCGCCAAGAAATCAACATCTACCTGACCCACTAGAGTAGGGAGGCAAGGAATGTTGCGGGTCCCATTCCCCTAAGGAGATACACCTGGTGGGAGCCAGAAGAAGGGCCTTCTCTGTGGTGGCTCCCCCGCTCTGGAACATCATCCCTGAAGAGATTAGAATGGCCCCCTCTCTAACACTCTTTCGGAAGGCCTTGAAGACGTGGTTCTGCCAGAAGACCCGGGGAACCCAGAGTGGGATGATGCCCATTAAATGGCTCATATGAATGTGTGTTATGGCTGGGGTGGAGCAGGGTGGGTGTGGGTTATTATTATTATTTTTTTTCTTTTTATTTCTTTTATGTGATGTTTTTATATCCTTGTAAGCCACCTTGAGTTGCCATGTGCGAGTAGGCGACAATATAAATTTTTCCAAATAAAATAAATTGACTTGAAGGCATCAAAATAAAACTAGGACATCTACAATATGGCTTATATGTGAACCCCAGACACTGTGATTTGTGAATGGGTTTAGGGTAGGGGTGGGCTGCCACCGCTTCTCCCTGGTTCGGGAGAACCCGTAGCTCATTTTATGGCCGTTTTATGGCTGGTTCGACAAACCAGCAAATCCCACCCCTGGCTGACCCCGCCCACCCTGCTCCACCTCTCCCAGGAATCCCCACGCAGCCCATTCTGGATCCCAGGTAAGTACAGGGCCTGCGTGGAGACTCGGGGAGAGTGAAAAACTGGCCTCCCGGAGGCTCCGGAAGGCGGAAAACAGGCCCGTTTCTGGCCTCTGGAGGGCCTCCAGAGTTCGGGGAGGCTGTTTTTGCCCTCCTGGAGGCTCAAGGAAAGCCTCTGGAGGCCAGGGAGGGTGAAAAATGGGTCTCCTGGAAGTTCCAGAAGGCCGGAAATGGGCCCATTTCCAGCCTCCAGAGGGCCTCCGTAGCCCAGAGAGGCCATTTTTGCCCTCCTGGAGGGTCGAGGAAAGCCCGCCTCCATTGTGGTGCAGGATGCTGACTAGGCCACGCCCACCATGGCCACGCCCATCTAGCAACAGGGCAGAGAGCCAGTTGCTAAAATTTTTGAAGCCCACCCCGGTTTAGGGTTTAGCGAGTGGTGGAAATCCAACCCATGGTGGTTTACCCATTAAACTATGTTTAAATAAACTAGAGCTGTGGGTAAAAGGTGAACCTGGCCAACATTGCCTTTATGACTTGCTCAGTTCCAGGTCAGGTTCTTGTCCGAAGGGATTACTATTAAGGATTTAGCCTGTTTGCGTCATATAATATTATATATGGGCATATGCATACTTATTTATTTATTTGTCTGTTTATTTGTTTGTTTATTTATTTGTCATGTTTATGTAGTGTATATTTGAGGTTTGAGAGCTGTACGCAAAGAAATGTCATTTTAATGTATGCCAATTAAGTGTACATTCAAAGCGACAATAAGGTTATTCTAAGTTCTCCAAGTCTAAATTTAGCCTGTATCTGTTTTCACATTCAGGTTTCAGACATGGGCATATAAAGGTAAAAGTGAAACGTTTGTGTCTGACTGTAAGGAGTCATGATGCTCATCTTTGTTTCTTAGCCAAGGCAGCCAGCATTGTACAAAGACACTTCCGTGGTCATTTGGTGGCATGTTTATACACCGAGGCACACGGAATGCTGTTACCTTCCCATTGAAGTGGTACCTATTTATCAATTCGCATTTGCATGCTTTTGAGAATTGCTGGATTGGCAAACCATCACGTGGTACTTGGGTCTCAAAGCGTCGACCTTCTCGTTGACAAGTCCAGCATCTTAACCACTAGGCCTAGTGGATACGGTATATGGTGCATATACCATAAGAGATAATATTAACAGAAAGATAAAGGTGAGCACCTGCACCTCACTGTTGAATAGTAGCTATTGAATCGTGTGCTAAGCGCAGGGGTGGGATGCTACCGGTTCTATAGAACTGGTAGCTCTGAAGAGCAGCAGACACTGGACCGGTTCTGTGTTTGCTGCTGTTTGGCCCACCCACCCTCCTGGGCTCTTACCTGTCCTTTATTTCCTGCTTTTTCAAGCTCATCTGCTTTGCGCAGCACAGCTGAGGTTGAAAAAGCAGGAAAAAAAGAGGCTTTTCAAACACTACGCACCCGCGTGCAACGCTTTTCAGCTGTCCAGGTGGCACAGCTGATGTTTTTTTTTACACACACGCACAGCGTGTAAGTAGACTATGCAAAACATAGTCACCAAACCGGTAGTAACACTGGTTGAATCCCACCCCTGGCTAAGCGTACACTATTTAAATCAAATAATTAAACAAATTTTTTAAAAAACCTATTACATTTGTCCCATCCCAGTCCACAAAAATGCATTCCTGCAGGGAAGGATATATCAAATGATGGAGTTGTAAAATGAAATCTGATCAGCTCCTATCTTGTTCGGCTTCAGGAAATCATTAAAAAACGGAATTGTTTAAGGAGGCCCTTGATTTATAGATGTTGCCATCTGCTTTTATTGCTGTTTGGTTGATGGTTTTATGATTTTAGTTACAGTTTAATTTTGGGGAAATTTAGTGGGGAAGCTGCTGAAAGTTTATTGATTGTAACTGTATCACGGACATTTTTTGTTTCTGATTTTGTAATCTGGAGTCCCTGTTTGTAAATTTGGATGGTTATATAAATTTGTTTAATAACTAAGTATTAAATAAATAAACCTGCTGAGAGACTTGCGGGCAGGCAACAAATAAAATAAAATAAAATAAAAATAGCAGAGCAGAGCAAAGCAAAGCAAAATAAAATAATGTATCTTACCTTGATTTGATATTTCAGTCCTGAGATATAAACCTTTTCCTTGTTCTCACCCATCACACCAAATCGCACATATGCTGTACCAGTGACCCCTTTCCCATAGAAAAAACTGTTGGAGAAGCCAAGAAAAAAACACATAATTAACTTATAATAAATAAGGAATAAATGCTGTGGATGACCAGAAAAAAAAATGTTTCCCCCCCGTGCTGCATCCTCATGATGTTGCCTTCATCTAATCCACACCAGGAAGTGATCTTTCTGATTGATGATGTGATATCCAGTTGATGTTACCTCTTAGCAACCCCATGGTTAGGTTTTTCTCCATGAGGATGACCTGTCCCTAACCTGGTCCTTCAGGTTTTGCCACTGTGTCCCCATCACCACTGTAACTGAGTCTGTCCACCTTTGGTTGTTCTCTTCTTCTCTTTCCTTCCACCTTTTCCAGCATTAGAAACTTCTTGCTGGGTAGTTAGAATTATGCCATCTGGCTGCTGGTGATTTTCTTTAATCAAACAATGTTATAACACGCTCCTTTTTTTGCAGTATAATCTTTAAGATACCCAAGAACAAGAAATAGAAATATTAACCTTCCCTTTTCCTTTCCTTCCATCAATCTACACACCTTCCTCCTTTCCTTTCCTTTCCTTTCCTTTCCTTTCCTTTCCTTTCCTTTCCCTTCCTTTCCTTTCATTAATCCACACACCTCTCCTTCCTTCTCTCCTCTCCTCCTCTCCCCTTTTCCCTCCTTCCATTCATCCACACATCTTCATCCTTCCCTCCCCTTCCTTTTCCCTCCCCTCCCCTCTCATGTTCCACCATAACACCCACAACGTTTTCATCGAAAATTCCGACAACCTTCTGACCTCTTTTGCATCTGTTTTTTCTAGGTTTATGATGAGAATGGCAATTCAGCTCCCCTAAAAAGGAAAGCCGCCTTCAATTTCATGCTTGCGGTTGTCCGCTGCCTAACTTTGGATTGCAGCTATCCCCGAAAACTTTAGCAGTCTGAGCATATCATGGTTAATGAATCCATTGAATAAGGAAGAGTTGCTTACTTAGCCTGAATGTTAATTTGCAAGTCAGATGTTTGCTGTCCAGTGACCAGGATGTATTTCTGGTCTGGGACAATCTTCACCTCGAAATGAGGCAGGACTGATGAGAAAAAGGAAGAGATAGAAATTTGAGTTTCACCACCAACACCCATTCTGTACATGCAACATTAATGCAATATCAGGGGTTTTCGATTCAATTGTATAGAATGTGAAGGATGTGTGTTTGTGTTTTATTTTTATAGTTATAATGTACACTGAAGATGGCATTGAATTTCGTTGTATGAAGTGCAGTGACAATACAGTAAACTAAACTTTGATCTCCTCGAAAACAATATCTTGCTCCTGTTTCTGTTCAAGCAGAAAACAATACTCTAATCAAGGAACCTTCAAGGAGAAAACCACACGCACACACACACCCAGTAATACTGGCAGGGTAAGCTACTGTATATAAGCAGGGAGCAAACCTCACACTTATTACCGCTGATGATATTACCTAGTCGGGTAATGAAATGTCTGCAAGCAAACAATCAAGTTCAGAGAACCACTGAGGACTCCACAGTTCAGCCTTGGGCTACAAATATTCTCTTCTTTAATGAAAAAGTTTAATAGAAAGGAGGACTAGGAGTGACATGATAGCAATGCTCCAATATGAGCCTTGGTGGCACAGACTGCAGTACTGCAGGCTGCTTCTACTGACTGTCGGCTGCCTGCAATTTGACAGTTCAAATCCCACCAGGCTCAAGGTTGACTTCCATCCTTCCGAGGTGGGTAAAATGAGGAGCCAGATTGTTGGGGGCAATAGGCTGATTTTGTGAACCGCTTACGAGAAGGCTGTAAAACACTGTTGAAGTGGTATATAAGTCTAAGTACTATAGACGATATAGAGCACTGCACACCAGAACTACTAGATACAAGGATAGTTTTTCCCCTGAAAGCCATCACTCTGCTAAACAAATATTTCCCTCAGCACTGTTCAACTATTACAAAGTCTGCACTACTATTACTGTTAATCTCATCACTCCTTATCACCCACCCCGTCCCACTTGTGACGGTATGACTGTAACTTTGTTCCTCGCATCCTAAGATTTATATTGACTGTTTCCTAGTATGATTTGATTGCTTATTGTACCCTATGACTATTATTAAGTGTTGTGCCTTATGATTCTTGACTCTTGACGAATGTATCTTTTCTTTTTATGTACACTGAGAGCATTTGCACCAAGACAAATTCCTTGTGTGTCCAATCACACTTGGCCAATAAAGTATTCTATTCTATTCTATTCTATTCTATTCTATTCTATTCTATTCTATTGCTATTGCTATTGCTATTGCTATTGCTATTGCTATTGCTATTTAAGGGGCTGCCACAAAGAAAGGGGGTCAAAACCTATTCTCCAAAGTGACAGAAGATGAGACAAGAAACCATAGATGGGAACTAATGAAGTTCAGAAGCAACCTAGAACTAAGGAGAAATTTCCTGACAGTGAGAACAATTAATCAGTGGAACAACTTGCCTCCAGAAGCTGTGAATGCTCCAACACTGAAAGTTTTAAAGAAGAAATTGGACAACCATTTGTCTGAAATGCTATAGGCTTTCGTGCCTGAGCAGGGGGTTGGACTAGAAGACCTCCAAGGTCCCTTCCAGATGGCATTATACCTGGGGCAGGATAGAGCTTGCCAATTGGGGCAATAGATATATATATAGTTTTCTTCTGGATCAGGGACTGGGGGATTAGCAGAGTGCTTTAATGTGGCCACGAGAAAGAGTCCCCTGTGTATATTTGGGAACAGAGCCAGGGTGCAGCTATCTCAGAACCTACCATATTTTTTCACCTCAAACTCTGTGCTTGTGTTGTAACCCTGTGCACGGAGAAAGTGAGCCGTGATAGTCCAAATGCCAGGCCTGAATAGGAGAGAAACAAGAACAAAAGAAAACCTTAGCTGACCTTTTTTTTTTTGAGGTCAGTCATAATTTTGAATAGTTGCGAAGTCACCAGTGGTAAGTTGGGAACCATTCATATCCAAAGCAGTGGTGGGATTCAAATTTTTTTTTATTACCGGTTCTGTGGGCGTGGTGTGGCTTGGTGGGCATAGCGTGGCTTGGTGGGCGTGGCAGGGGAAGGTTTCTGCAAAATCTCCATTCCCTCCCCACCCCACTAACCTGCTTTCCAGCTCCGTTCTCCTGTGCAGGGCAACCAAAGAAGACCCAGCCGATCAGCTGGGACTCAATGGGAGGCAGAGAATAGATGGGGGCAGGGCCAGTCAGAGGTGGGATTTGCCGGTTCTCCGAACTACTCAAAATTTCTGCTACCGGTTCTCCAGAACTGGTCAGAACCTGCTGAATACCACCTCTGATCCAAAGTCCTTTAGATCAGCGGTTCCCAACTTTTGTGGCTTGGTGGCCTGGCTGGGAGGGGAGAAGGGAACCGAGCCGTGTGAGCGGCAGACTGGCACACACACACACACACACACACACATGTACACACACCTCGACTTCCGCAAGTGGTGGGCCAGAGCGGGTGTGTGCACACGCTTATACACCAGCCCATCACTCGTGCGGCCTGGTTGCAAATAGGCCACTGCCTTTGATAACACAAACATTGGAAAATTCCCCAATCCAGGTAGTCTTGCGACTGAATCCGAGTCTGTTTCTCCCCATCCAGGTCCCCAAAGTCTCCTAGCCTTATAATTAGAATGGGACACAACTAGTATGCTGAATTAAATAGTAGACTTGATTAAATACATCTGAAATAACTGCACGGTTTTCGACTGCCGGATCAGAGTAAAAATCCCAACTTCACCCTTCAACATCACTGCATTTGTATTTCGGGAAAAGCTGGAGTGTTAAGTGCTTAGTGAAACTTACTCAGCCACGTCAGGAATTGACAGATGGTCATTTATGACAGTTTTAAGTGCGGTGCGTTCAATCTTCTTGACCTGAAATCCCCGTGGATTCTGAGGGAGTGAAACAGGAAGACCGTGAGTGATTTCATAAAGCAAAGGGTGTTACAAATAGCAAGTTTCCATGTACAATGCTCCAGTTAGTACTTTAAAAAAAAATTGTTTTGTCAGGCTCTGCTTCACTGCATTATATTTGAACCGCTTGCTCATTACCTTCACTGTGATAACAACGGGGTTGTTGGTGGGACGTAACTTCTGATCCAGAGGGAAGACTCGGAAGTTCACTGGAATAAACGAAGGAAAGTGGCGTGTAAAAGAAAGAAGGGAGCGAGGTGCTAAGGCGAATCCAGAATCCTACCTTACAGGCAGAGGCTCCTCTGAGGCCCAGAAAGCCCAAAACCAGATGTGTGGGGGGTGGCGGCTGCAAAACAAAAACAAACCCAACGCCCACCCAGTCACATGGCCACACCCACCTAACCACGCCCACCAAGCCACACCCACAGAACCGGTAGTAAAAAGTTTTGAATTCCACCACCGGAGGAGTATTGTGTGTGTTTGCCACCTTGACTGGCGAAAACGAACAAAGGCAGGCAGGGTATAAATGAATAAACAAATAATATCATGTTGAGTAAGACGGGTAGTCCTCGACTTATGACCACAATCGAGCCCAACATTTCTGTTGCAAAGCAAGGCAGTTGTTAAGTGAGTTCTGCCCCATTTTAGGGACCTCTCTTGCCACAACGGTTAATCGCTGCAGTCGTTAAATTAGTAACCCGGTTGTTAAGTGAATCCATCTTCAATACTTTCCTTGTAAGAAGGTTGCAAAAGGGGATCACGTGACCCAGGGACCCTGGCGACTGTCATAACTATGAGTCTGTTGCCAAGCATTAGAATTTTGAATGCTGTCATAGTTGTGTGAAAAAGAGTGAGAAGTGACTTTTTCCAGTGTGGTTGTAACTTCGAACTTTCACTCAATGAATAGTTGTAAGTCATGGACAAGATGGAATTGCACAACCTCAGTAATTGGACAGCAAATATATACATTTCTACCTGTATAAGCTGTATCATTGTTAAATAAAGGGGGTGTGTTGTTTTTTTAAACAGGATGAACGAAAAGGACAGAGCAAGGTGATTGCAAGGTGCGTGTGAGGCAGTCTCACCCTTTTGTCGGGGGGTGTAAATGGGCTTGTCAGTCTGTATCAAGAGGTACCCCTCTCGGGTGCTCCAACGCAGGTTGAGGGTTTGAACGTTCCTGGGGGTGTTGAGCTGAGGACTCTGGGCCACCAGTTGGATATAGCGGTTTCGCCGCTGGCTGCTCAAACCGCAAGACTCGAAAAACCGCTGTGTCACCTGCATGAATGAAAACAGTTCGACGTGAGAGCGAACGGCGCCGCCTGGAGAATAGAATAGAATAACAAGAGTGGAAAGGGACCTTGGAGGTCTTCTAGTCCTGCTCAGGCAGGAAACCCTACATCATTTCTGGCGACCAAAACGGGATGCAGTTTTCTAAGTGTGGCCTTACCAAGGCGTGATAAAGTGGTATTAACACTTCACGTGATCTTGATTGTATGCAGAGATGATATTCAGCAGGTTCTGACCAGTTCTGGAGAACCAGTAGCAGAAATTTTGAGTAGTTCGGAGAACCGGCAAATGCCACCTCTGACTGGAGATTGTACAGTATCCTTCCCCTGCCAGGCCCACCAAACCACCCCAACAGAACCAGTAGTAAAAAAAAAAAAATGAATCCCACAACTGATTCTAACCCTCTATTTATGCAGCCTAGAACTGTGTTGGCTTTTTTGGCGGAGAGGCAAGAGAACAAATAAAGTAGAACAGGGGGTCCCCATCCACGGCGCTGCAGCCCACTACCGTTGGCCATGGCCTGTTCGAAACCTGGCTGTGGAAGAGACAGGCAAGCTGCACGTGTGAAGCTCCGCTCATACCAAGTGCTAAAATGGCTGCCGCTCCCATGAGCGCACTTGTCCGAATATCACAGAAGCAGATCACATGATCCCGGGGACACTGCAACTGTCATAAATACGAGTCAGTTGCCAAGCATCCAGATTTTGATCACGTGATTATGGGGGTGCTGCAGGTGTGAAAAAAGATCATTGGTCACTTTTTTCAGTGCCACTGTAACTTTGAACGGTCACTAAATGAACTGCTGTTAAGTCGAGGGCTGGCTGCCTCAAGGTTCACAGCAAGGGATCTCTGTTTCTGAAGGTTTTGAAGGTTTAAAAATCCATCAGTACGGTGAACAAATTTTTAGACTCAGAGAATCTAATTCCTGCTTAGCAGCAAAACTTGTTTTATTCACCCTAAAGAGCCTCACGGGTGTGTTGCCAGAGTTCAGTGGGAAAAAAACCCTTTATGGATTTTAGCATCCTGGGAAGAGAGATAAATCCCGGTGTTATAATCCTCATCTACTGAATACAGATAAAGTTAGACAATAAAAGCATTCAGAAAGACGGGCGATATCTCTGTAAGTGACTGTTAGCATTTGTGTGGAAAGCAGAACTTTCCCCTTGATCACCGAACAGCGATCATTATGTCAATTTTTATTACCCCTTTACTGGAACTTCAGGCTATTTCAAGGCAGCATTTCCCTTTTTTCATGTTTCCAAGCCTTTCCCCCACATGCACAATATATCCTTTTTCCCCCCCCTCATCAACTTCCTCCTTCAAGTTCTGCATGGCAGTTCCAGTCTGGTACAGCGATTTTGGGCTGTCAGCATCCAATCCGGAAAACAACAACAGGTCGCAGTTCCATTTCAGTCTGTAACTTGTTGGCATCAGCAGATTGTCTCACAGGCCATCTTAAGAGCTACAGCTGATCACTTGGCCAGCCGATGTTTTCAGAAGAGCCTGCAGAAACTCTGCTGCTAATTTTTAATTCTGGCTGGAAGAAAATGGTGGGCTGGCATTTATCCCAAACCAGGCAGGGAAGACGAAAGAAACAGTGCATCTGAACTTGAGGATTTCAAGCCAGGTCTTGTCTTAGCCTGGTTTTATAACAGAGTAACAGAGTTGGAAGGGACAATGGTAGTCTTCTAGTCCAACCCCTTACTCAGGCAGGAAACTCTATCATTTCAGACATGTGGCTGTCCAATCTCTTTTTTTAAAATTTCCACTGTTGGAAATTCTGGAAGTTGTTCCACTGGTTTATTGTTCTGTCAGGAAATTTCTCCTTAATTCCAGGTTGCTTTAATTAGCTTCCATTCATTGCTTCTTTGTTCTGCTTTCAGGTGCTTTGGAGAATAGTTGACGCTCTCTGCTTTGTGGCAGCCACTTTTGTTAAATTTGCCACAAAAGTAAATTGAGATATTTGCACTGAGCCATACCTTCAGGCCAGAGCCAGAATCTGAGCCCTTTTGTGACCCACCCTTAGCTATACATCCAGAAACAAGAAGCAAAATATTATGCTTCTGAGTGGAAAAAAATCAATATATTCCTTAACTGCTTTCCTCAAAGTACCAAAAACAAGCACCTAGGTCGCAATCACGTGACTATGGGGACGCTGCAATGGTCATAAGCATGAGGACTGGTCATGACGTCACTTTTTCTATGCCATCATCACCTTAAAATAATTCATAAATAAATGGTCATTAAGAAAAAGTGTAAGCTTTCATCCAAAACTTGCTTTGTAAAGCCCAACATCTGGTATCATAAGAACATGTTCAATCAGCTTCTCCTTAGTCTATATCCTCCAGATGTGTAGACTTTAACATCTAGAACAGTGTTTCTCAATAGTGGCAGCTTGAACATGTGTGGACTTCAAGTCCCAGAATTCCCATGCTGGCTGGGAAATTCTGGGAGCCGATATCCAGACATTTTGAAGTTGCCAAGGGTAAGGAATGCTGATCTAGAATTTCCAGCAGGGCCATTCAGAAAAGTTTTAGAAATTAAAGCTCACATATCTGGGGAAGGACACCCAGGCTGTAGAACAGGGGAGTCTTCAAACTTGGCAACTTTAAGACTTATGGACTTCAACTTCCAGAATTCCTCAGCCAGCTATGTTTGGAGACCTCTTGTTGTGGTTAGCCAGCAACAAGTACAGATGGCTGAGGAGAGCGAGGACCCTGATGAAGGGCCAGGACCATCAGGGAGTGGACTGCTGCCTTCAGAGATTGTGGGGGCTGGCAGCAATGATGAGGAGGTTCCTGAGGAGCCTGTGCCAAGTGCACGTGCGCACAGGATTGCTCAGAGGAAAGAACAATTACAGCAGCACAGGCGACTCGGGAGTAAGGCTGCAAGGTAATGGCCCCTCCCTCAAGAGGATAAAAGCCAGGTTTGAAAAAACGTTCTTTGCAGAAGGCAAAGAAGCTCTGAAGCTCAACCTTGTGGACATCATAGTTCACGTTTGGAAAATCTTGTAAATTAGTTCTTATCTCTGGGCTTTTGGCAGCCTTGACAAACAACTTGGCAAGGCTCTTTCTTGTCAGAGCTAATTAGTGGAAGGTAGCCTTCAGAATAGAATTCGTTATTAAACCTTAAAAGGTGGGGGCTGCTGCCTTTGTCTGTGTTTGTTCTTTGGGAACCCAGTTGGGTCAGAACACCTCTGCTGTAGAAAGTGACACCAAGCCACCTCTAAACATATTGGCTAGTCTAATGAAAAGAAGGACTAGGGGAGATATGATTGCGGTGTTCCAATATTTGAGGGGCTGCCACGAAGAAGAGGGGGGTCAACGTATTCTCCAAGGCAACACAAGGCAGTACAAGAAGCAATGGATGGAAATAACCAAGGACAGAAGCAACCTAGGACTAAGGAGAAACTGCCGGACAGTGAGAACAATTAACCAGTGGAATCATTTGCCTTCAAAATTTTCAGATGCTCCATCACTGGAGGACTTTAAGAAAAGACTGGACAGCCCTTCGTCTGAAATAATATTGGGTCTCCTGCTCGAGCAGGGGGATGGACTAGATGACCTCCAAGGTCCCTTCCAACTCTCGAATCCATTTCTTTTCTCTCCCTAGGGGTGGGATGTGCAATCCTCCCGGTTTCCGGTCTTACCTTCAAGGTCAGATCTTGGACAAAATTTTCGTGCTGCTTTTTCTGAAGGCTGAACGATTTTCGTTCAGAACATTCTTGTCTCGTCAACTCATTTTGGAAAAAGACGTGGCCCTTGAGCCCCAGTGGAGCGCCGTCAACCTGAAGCACAATCCGCACGTCTGTTCCCACCGTCACCACACTGGGGGCAACGATCATCAACCTGCAGCATCGAGGAAAAGCAAGAATATTTCATAGTGCGCGGGCCATCAACCCCCTTCAATGCTTAGGTTTTCGCAAACTCGCCCCAAAAAAAAAGAAAGGAAAAAAAATGGAAATTGGGAAACAAGACCAGAGAAGCCCCAAAACTAAGTAAGCCACGTGTTTTTAATGCAAAGTGTAGAGCCTAACCGTGACCCACAAAACACATAGCTGGTATTCACAACAGGGCAGGAATCTGGTGGGTAAGTCTGTGAGCATCTGAGAAGCCCAAGTCCCCTTAGGGCAAATGTGACATTGTGGTAAAGTTTGTGAGGTAAACTAACTTTCTTTCTTTCTTTCTTTCTTTCTTTCTTTCTTTCTTTCTTTCTT